TAACCCCTGACGACCCGAAATTCCACCCTGCTGACCTCTGGCGACCCGAAATTCCACTCTTCTAACCTCTGACGACCTGAAATTCCAGTATACTAACATCTGACGACCCGAAATTCCACTCTACTAACCCCTGACGACCCGAAATTCCACCCTGCTGACCTCTGGCGACCCGAAATTCCACTCTTCTAACCTCTGACGACCTGAAATTCCAGTATACTAACATCTGACGACCCGAAATTCCACTCTACTAACCCCTGACGACCCGAAATTCCACCCTGCTGACCTCTGGCGACCCGAAATTCCACTCTTCTAACCTCTGACGACCTGAAATTCCAGTATACTAACATCTGACGACCCGAAATTCCACTCTACTAACCCCTGACGACCCGAAATTCCACCCTGCTGACCTCTGGCGACCCGAAATTCCACTCTTCTAACCTCTGACGACCTGAAATTCCAGTATACTAACATCTGACGACCCGAAATTCCACTCTACTAACCCCTGACGACCCGAAATTCCACCCTGCTGACCTCTGGCGACCCGAAATTCCACTCTTCTAACCTCTGACGACCTGAAATTCCAGTATACTAACATCTGACGACCCGAAATTCCACTCTGCTAACATCTGACGACCCGAAATTCCACTCTGCTAACATCTGACGACCCGAAATTCCACTCTGCTAACATCTGACGACCCGAAATTCCACTCTGCTAACATCTGACGACCCGAAATTCCACTCTGCTAACATCTGACGACCCGAAATTCCACTCTGCTAACATCTGACGACCCGAAATTCCACTCTGCTAACATCTGACGACCCGAAATTCCACTCTGCTAACATCTGACGACCCGAAATTCCACTCTGCTAACATCTGACGACCCGAAATTCCACTCTGCTAACATCTGACGACCCGAAATTCCACTCTGCTAACATCTGACGACCCGAAATTCCACTCTGCTAACATCTGACGACCCGAAATTCCACTCTGCTAACATCTGACGACCCGAAATTCCACTCTGCTAACATCTGACGACCCGAAATTCCACTCTGCTAACATCTGACGACCCGAAATTCCACTCTGCTAACATCTGACGACCCGAAATTCCACTCTGCTAACATCTGACGACCCGAAATTCCACTCCATTAACATCTAACGACCCGAAATTCCAATAATCCAGAGTTCCAACGATCTAAAATGTCTCGCAGATCCACCACCTGAAAACAGCGATACTGTTCCCGTGCTCCAAATCTTCAACGAGCCGGAATTCCGCAATTCCACAGGCTGAGCCACTCGGAATTTTGCCAATCCATAATATTAATGACCTAAAACTCCAGTTTTCCGAGCTCTGTGTATCGCAACGCTGTCCCACTATTTGTACGAAGCACAAAGGTAAACAGAGTAAACAAATATCGCTCGAAGGCACAACGCAAAACGGCGCTGGTGAAAATGGCGGGAGAAAAAGAGCCTGCTCGCGAAGCTTCGACGAAGTTCCGAGAAACGATCAAAAGATCGAGCAAAAGTAAATCGAAGAACAGAAGCCGAAACGCGGAGCACGTTCTCGCGGTAGAAAATGTTCTCGGCACCGCGCAAAGTATCAGTGGAATTTGCATTCCAAAGTGCGCCAGCCAGATGCAACGTGCATAAGCGAGCAGCTCCTCGAACAGCGTTTCGCACGTCCGTCGCGAGAGATAAATCATTTTGGACGTCAGTTTAACGAACGCTCGGATGCGGCCGGCTTATTATTGTGTTCGAAACGGCGATCGCCGCAGAAGACGTGACTCATCTTTCCTCCGCTCGATTTTCAGAGCAGGAAAAAATTAATTTGTCCAAAAACCCGGCGAGAAGGATATTTTCCTCGAAAATGGAGAAATAACGTCGAGCGATTAAAAATTGAAGAGGAAAAAAGGAACACCGGGTTCGAATATGCAAATAAGTCGTATAATCGAGAGATTCGAGGAAGACCACTGTGAATTAATTAATTCTTGCTCCGTCGCTGTCTGACTACGTTCGCGATGATCAATCGATCGAACCGGTCGATACACCCATTTTAAACGAGAATTTATATCGCGGCTTCTGATCGGACGATAAACCATTCACAATTTTATTGCTAAACGATGATCTACGTCTCTGATTACACGATTATACTTTTTTTATAGCTTCTTTGGAATGCAGTACTCTCTTTATATTGCCATTGATGGTCGTTCAACGCGATAGAATTCAGAGTCGTAATCTGGCGTGTTGGAAAAATTACGTGGAATAGTAAGCGCGAGAAATGACAATGCGGTGGTCGAATAAGTGGTGATATAACGGGTGGCGATACAGCACGTTGAGATAACATTGTGTAGTACTCTAACGTTGCAATTAGACGTAGTAGTGGAGCACGTGGGAATAGTATAATACATAAAAATAGTCTGTGGTATCTAACGCGAGGAAGTAACAATGTGTTACTATTCCACTGTGTGGTAATAGTAGTCCATGGCGATATAACGCGTGGAATAGTAACGTGCCACCATCCTATGGGTGGTGATAGCAACCCATGGCGATATAACGCGTGGAAAACCAACGTGTGAGAATCCCATACGTGGAATACCATCGTGCCACCATCCCACGCGTGGGAATAGCAACCCACGGCGATATAACGCGTGGAAAACCAACGTGTCAGAATCCTACACGTCGAATACCAACGTGTCACCATTCCACGCGTGGTGATAGCAACCCATGGCGATATAACGCGTGGAATACCATCGTACCACTATTCCACGCGTGGTGATAGCAACCCATGGCGATATGACGCGTGGAATACCAACGTGCCACCATCCCACGCATGGGAATAGCAACCCACGGCGATATAACGCGTGGAATACCAGCGCGCCACCATTCCACGCGTGGTGATAGCAACCCATGGCGATATAACGCGTGGAATAGTAACGTGCCACCATCCTATGGGTGGTGATAGCAACCCATGGCGATATAACGCGTGGAATACCAACGTGCCATAATCTCACGCGTGGAATATCAACGTGTCACCATCCCACGCGTAGGAATAACAACCCACGGCGATATAACGCGTGGAATACCAACGCGCCACTATTCCACGCGTGGTGATAGCAACCCATGGCGATATGACGCGTGGAATAGTAACGTGCCACCATCCTATGGGTGGTGATAGCAACCCATGGCGATATAACGCGTGGAATAGTAACGTGCCACCATCCTATGGGTGGTGATAGTATATAACGCGTGGAATACCAGCGCACCACCATTCCACGCGTGGGAATAGCAACACATGGCGATATAACGCGTGGAATACCAAGGCGCCACCATCCCATGCGTGGAAATAGCAACCCACGGCGACATAACGCGTGGAATACCAACGCGCCACCATCCCACGCGTGGAAATAGCAACCCACGGCGATATAACACGTGGCAACGCCACTAACGTCCCTACAGACCCACATATAAAAAGCAACTCATTCTCTGCTAATAAACGCAGCACTAAGCTCTCCGTCATTAGTCTTCAACTCGATCTTTAATATGCTAAAATGTAGCCATTCTCTATCGAGAATGATCAAAATTCCCCTCGGTTCGAAACGACCTTTTTTCTACGAGGAAATAAGAAACGAACGTTTGCAAATTTATTAATATTGACAGATGCAGTAATAATTTCGTTTCATCACGTAATACGACTCTCCCATTTCGCGGGAACTTCCAAAAAAATAACTGAAAATTTAATGACCAGAGTTTGTAATGGAAACTAAAGTAATTGGCCCTGGTGTAATTATTCTCGATTATTAGGGAGGGCGAGATCTCCCAGGAAAACTTTACTCCCTCTTCGCGGCTTCTCTCTCTAAACTTCCTTGAATTTATATTCGACTCCGCATCGCTGGAAACCGTCATTAATCTCGTATATGACGCGGACCATGTAAGTACATTAATTATCGGAACATGAGCTCTTGATTCTAAATTAGCTCGTTAGAAAACATTACATCATCTTTCGTGTTCTGCAACTTTCAACTTCTGGCAAGTTCAGAAACCTTGAAATTACAGGCAGCGAAACTTTCTTTTTCTGTTTATCTTATGTAGCAATCGTAAGATTTTTGCGTGCACCATTTATGAATCACACTGTACACACTGTCTCTTTTAAGATACCAATATTTATATTGCCCTCTGAGGTAGCAGAGCTATGATCCCACAAGTCGTACAACCTAAGTTTCGGCAAGATTTTATGTACAGGTTCAATGGAACAATTTTTGAATCACCCTGTACATAAATTTTTCTTCAAATTGACAAATCACGTTATATATACACTGTCTCCTTCGTGTTAAGCTTCTATGTAACAATCGATAATTCCATAATTTACATCTGCAGTCTGATCAAGATATGTACAGGTTCAATGGAACAATTTTTGAACCACTCTGTAGATGTTCAGTCTTCAAATCTGTGTCACAGCCTTGAGGACTCAGAACTAATCACCCTGTACATACATTTTTCTTTAAATTAACAAATCATGTTATGTATACACTGTCTCTTTCGTGTTAAGCTTCTATGCAACAATCGATAATTCCATAATTTACATCTGCAGTCTGATCAAGATATTATGTACAGGTTCATTCAAATTTTTGAACCACTCTGTAGATGTTCAGTCTTCAAATCTGTGTCACAGCCTTGAGGACTCAGAACACATTTTTTTTCAAATTGACAAATCACGTTATGTATACACTGTCTCTTTCGTGTTAAGCTTCTATGCAACAATCGATAATTCCATAATTTACAACTGCAGTCTGATCAAGATATGTACAGGTTCAATGGAACAATTTTTGAATCACCCTGTACATAAATTTTTCTTCAAATTGACAAATCATGTTATGTATACACTGTCTCCTTCGTGTTAAGCTTCTATGCAACAATCAATAATTCCACAATTTACATCTGCAGTCTGATCAAGATATTATGTACAGGTTCATTCAAATTTTTGAACCACTCTGTAGATGTTCAGTCTTCAAATCTGTGTCACAGCCTTGAGGACTCAGAACAGTTCCACAAAACCTTGTCACAGTACGAAAGTTCACCATTCGTGAATCACCCAGTAGACGATTTCCTCGAAGATTTCTTTGTCTAAGTCAGTCCAAAGTTTGCGCACGGTAATCGATATTTTATGGGACGTCGTAGAGCCTATTCAGCTCATCCAGAAAATGGAGACAACCCGTGAAAATATGGCGAAGCGACTGCACCGGATCGCAATCCATCACGGAGCATAGAACGTCCCGACAGAAAAGCTCCTCCCTGATGGCAGATTGCGGACTGGCCTTGAATACCCGTTGAAGAGCACCCGTTATCGAGGACCATGCAACTGGTCCCCTCCATAGAAACCGGTAGCTCCGACAATTACACCGTCCAACCTATGGGACAGGTGAATATAAAGGCAGTCGGACGAGCGTGGCGGCTATTAGTGTCCGTCTGCGTCCGACGACCGGTTCTCACTTCGCAGACTCTCGTAAATCGGTTTCATCAGCTGATCGAACCTGTTCCACCTGGGTCAAAGTGTCACGCGAACTTTCGATATGCACACGATCTCGGTGATCCTTTCGATCGTTGGACTCGCGGTGCTGGCGGACGCCTCGTGGCCTTCGTGCGCCGGGAAAACCATGCTGAGTGAGTATCCACGGGTCAGGGAAATCGGAAAAGTACCGGTACAAGGTGGGATTATTAATTTGGGATCAGATGCAACCGAGTCAGGTTGCTGAAAATAGCAAGGGGTTAAATTTCTCGTTCCCCACTTGTCCTAATTCCCCTAAGTGTCCTTTCCCTCCAAAATTCAGCGAGGGTAAAGTAGCCAGAAAATTGAAGAGAAAGAAGGGGAAATTAGGGAAATTAGGGTCGGACAGAGACTAATGCCCTCCAGCAAAGTGGAAGACAATTGCAACCTTCTCCGTTAAATTAAGGAAAATAGGGAGGTAGCAAAGAATCGGTGACACGGCGTAGAGAACAGGGTCGTTTGTCCGTGGGTTTACCCAAGGGTCAAGAATTCGCTGGGATAACATTGTTTCAATGTTTTCGCTTGTCACTCGCTCTTCTTTATCCTTGTGGATTTCGAGTTCGGGTGATTCATCTCCTCGAAGCGGCAATTTGAATAATCTCTGGCTGCCTCTGCTGCAGCCGTGTACCGTGATTTTCAAGCTCGTCCATCAGCCTTCAGACAACGCCCGATAACGACGTGACTAGACATTACCTAGCTTTTACCAGTCTAGTTACACCGACGAATTAATCTCCCGACTTCTTTTTACCCTGTTTCCTCTTGTTCTTTCATGAATTATCTTGCTCGCTATGATGACGTCTTCAGCTGCTGATCGTCATAGGTAGACGCTGAGGTGTCCATAAGGACAACTGCATCTAAAATTGCTTTTATTGGTTCTTTTCGAACTGGAAGCATCTTAAGTTCTCAGCTTTCTTGTTCTAACTTCTTAATAACTAAAACTTGGAGATCATTTAGGAGAAGCTTGGTACCACATTTCAAGGTCAACGCCAGAACCACGTCATTTAATATCTTTTCCGTCATCGCTCATCGATCAGATCTTTCTTGAATTATCATCCTGATCTTTCCTTATTAATGAGGAACATAATCACTGATATATGTCAAGGTTGATCGACATTTTGAAACAGTAATCTACCACCGAGCAGAATTTGACCCGCATAGTTGAGAATAAGACGTTACAAGACAATGAAGTTACGTTTGCAGTTTTTCCTTTATTTAATCAGGAAGGTGACGTAACCTTCCAGGGTCAATTAAGTCCAAATTCAGCTCACGTATCTCGTGATTAAACTTCTTCTCACGCAAACGGTACGATCATGTAAATATATCGGTCCATGATTTCGAAATTTGAAGTTTCTAATCCACTTATCTCACCTTGATCCTCGTATTTCGCAAATAGAGTGGAAAGAACGCGTTTGTAAAATCTTGCCACGGTAATGGACGGAGCCTTCGGGAGGAACAACAAAAGATAATCAACGGACATACATTCGTCGGCAGAAAATGGAAATAATCGTGGAAACTTTGAATGGGAGCCGGTGGACTCGTCAGAGAAGTATTTATTTAACAAGCTAGCAAGTCCATTCCCACGAAATCCATTTAACTGTGAGCCGCGACAGAGAATGGAGTTAGCGGGTGTCGGTGGAATCGTTACGTACCGTAGCCCGGCCAAGCCCTTCTCGTTTCCGGGACAAAAAGAAACTGACCACGTACACGTTCCTACCAAATGTTATATTTCACCTGTCTACGCCCTCGATCATAAAATGTACTTTCGTCATATAGAAGGTATCTGATCCTGTATCTGGTTATGCATCTATCTTGTCAATTTATACTGGAGTACCATTGGTTATCTAGATCTTCGTACATGTTCTGTATTTGACCTTAAAAATATATCTGCAGTATGTCTAGCTGTTATCATTTATATCTGGCTGTGAATGTAACCTGTCATTATGAATGTAACCAGCAATTCATGATGGAGTACCAAACTTATATTCATATTTGAGGACGTATCTCTTTAAACATGTTCAGTACTCAAGCTTAAAATGTACCTACAGTTTGTCTAGATATTATCAATTATATCTGGCTATGAATGTAAACTGTCTGCAATTCATGATGGAGTACCAAACTTATATTCATATTTGAGGATGTATCTCTTTAGACATGTTTGGTACTCAAGCTTAAAATGTACCTACAGTTTGTCTAGATATTATCAATTATATCTGGCTATGAATGTAACCTGTCTGCAATTCATGATGGAGTACCAAACTTATATTCATACTTGAGGACGTGTCTCTTTAAACATGTTCGATACTCAAGCTTAAAATGTACCTCCAGTATGACTAGCAATTATCAATTATATCTGGATATGAATGTAACCTGTCTGCAATTCATGATGAAGTACCAAACCCATCTTCACTTTCGTGAATGTATCTCTTCAAACATGTTCGGTACTCAAGCTTAAAATACACCTCCAGTATGTCTACGAATTATCAAGCTTACATCTGCTAATGAATCTGAATCGTCTGCAATTCATACCGAAGTATCATTGCTAACCTATCTTTGTACTTGTGAACGTCCTCAAACATGTTCTGTACTCGACCATAAAATGTACCTCTATGAGCACATACGAAAGTTATATGAGGCAAAGCTCGTATCAGTTTGTAACCATACGTTTATCTGCTGATGAATATAATTCATCTTAATATAAGTAATCGAGTTAGAAACTGCTAGTATTTATGAAGCTAACTTTGTAGCTAATCCATGTAAATATGAAATGTGATCCACACTCGTAGTAATGCAATACCGGCGCTTAAGCCCTTGCACTATGATTTATTTATTAGATGCGTCAGTCAGGACTAATCGCAGCCGCAATATTAAAACAAGGCGAGTTGAAATGTGTTGATTTGGTGTCAATCGTTCACTATGCAAGCTTGACTCTAATTCCAGATTGAGGTGTATGCAAAATTCGAGTAGAATTGAACACGTCAGGAGTGCGTCAAGCGTGCGTCAGGAGAGCATTAGGAGTGCGTCAAGAGTGCGTCAGAGGAGCATTAGGAGTGCGCCAAGAGTGCGTCAAGAGAGCGTTAGGAGTGCGTTAGGAGTGCGTCAAGAGTGCGTCAAGAGAGCATTAGAAGTGCGTCGAGAGTGCGTCAAGAGTGTGTCAAGCGTGCGTCAGGGGAGCATTAGGAGTGCGTCAAGAGTGCGTCAGGGGAGCATTA